TAAACCATACTTATATCTAAAGAATAGATATGAATACAGTTTAAATTAGATATGGAAATTTGTGCTTGTTATCAAGTTACGCTTTCCTATCCTATACATTTAAGTAGATAAGGGTACTACTATAGAAGCATTATCATTAAAATGAGTTGATTTTTTAGAGTCGGCTGTCACAGAAAGCTTTACTTTGTAAACCTTAAAGAGCGCTAAGCTCAAGCTTCCGCATAATTGTAAGTGTTTTTTCCTTTAAAGTGAAATTACTTTAATAAAAACTCATGTGGCGTACAGATGGGTAAAAAAGCTCGCGCGCCGTATAGAGTGTCGTGCTTTGAGACTTAGTGAGCGTACACGAGCTTTTCATCTTCATTATGAAACAGTACCTCGATGCGAATCACTTCTATTTATATCAAATGAATACTGACCTCACAATGTGACTGACTAATGTCCGTCATATTCAGTTTGAATATTCGATCCCTGTAACAAAAGCAGAGGAAGTCACATTAAATAATGTTAGTTTCACACAAGGGTAAAACAGCTAGATAGTGCAGTATGACTTACAATTGTTTGAAGGCGGCTACAGCTTATGTGCGTTCAAATAATAGCAGTACTGCATTGTCTACTGTTTCGTACTGCCCTCGTGTGAAACTACCATTAGTTACGAAAATAGCATTTTGCTCTAAATGTTAGATGCTAATGTTACGCTTCCCGGCAAATGTTGCAAATAATTAAAGTTATAATGCATTTATGTACTGTTTTTGCTTGTAAGCTAATGCTTCCTGAATAAGTTATGGTTACATGTTTTCATTAATTCATAGGAAATGCTTAGTGTTAGATATAAAAAAAATATTTAGTATGTATGTATTTTATTTATGTATCTGCGAACATTTAAGCTACTGAAACTAGTATGTTAAAATACGCTTAATTTGGAATGGGAACGTCGTTTAAACTTGCATTTTATTCCGCAATTCGAATACCTCTTTAGTTTGTTGTTTCACAAATTGCAAATAGTGAATTGAAGTAAATTGAACACGAATGCAAAGCCTATAGCATTGGTGATCAGTGGCGAGGCCGATCGATTGCTCGCAAGTGTTTGTTGAGAGCGTTCCAATTCCATTTGCTGAGAGAGAGGTGCCGCCCGTTCCTTGCCACTTGACATAAAAATCACTTTTCGTCATCAGCAACTATGACGTGTGAATAAACTATGCAAGTTTATTATTTTCTTTTAATTGCGAGCACATCATCATTACTAGCTCACTATATTTCCCCCCGAGTGACTCAGAGACTACCCTAAGCCGAGCATTTAACACTTTAAGATATTAAACACCCAATGCTTGGACGTTGTCTTGTGGCAACTAGACTTCCGATGTCAACTGATAAACATACAAAACTAAATCATCTTAGTCGTATTTGTGTACATTAAAACACACTAGCAAATGATATATGGAAAAATTATTTTAACACGACAAAGATCAAAGATCGAAACTGAAGTAATAGAATAACATTGAAATAGAATTCAGAAAACGAATATTACAGCATCTACCAAATCTAACGCAATAAAGGGTAAACATAATAACTCAAACTATTATAAATAGAACACGGTACGCCACGCACGATCAAACGTGACGGTTTTCACGGCACTGAACAAACAAAATTGACAGAGATTGTAGATAATTGACTTTCATGTCTCGGTCCCATTTCCCTCGCGGGCGGATCATTACTATGTCGTTGAATAGCACAAAAGCTCCAAGTCAATGTTAGCTTACGCCTAATAATATGTTAAATGAATAATTTTCTAGCAATTTCTTCCGCAGTCGTAATTGTAGCGATTGTTAAATTATGCGCAACTCGTTAATAACACTGTTAATATTAACGCAAGCAACTCTAATGTAGACCTTCGTAATTCCAATTTAAAGAGCAATGAACTGAACTATGAACTATTAATACATTTTCATGTATAAAATTAAACATTAATAACTGATTGACTTTGATATTTACTTTGTATACATTTTAATCCAAAATGTAAACATTTTTATATTTTAGGTTATGACAACAGCTATCTTTAGATGTTTTTATGCGAAATAGAATCTAGTTTTAAATCAAATTGAATAAAATAGGTTATCTGTAAAAAGTTAATAACTTAATAAACGACGGAATTGAGCATTAAAATAAATAGATAAGTGAAGTAGAAAACGTTACTTACATCGCACCAACATAAAGTGTATTTCTCTCTTCATTCATATATAATGTGCGGTAAAACAGATTGCCACATGAAAACTCGCGTATGTGATCTGAAAAGAAAAAAAATGCACTATATTTTCATTTCTGCGAATATCTATTACAGTTTCGCTTTTACATCTTTTTGTGTATTAAAGTTTTATTTTTATTTATTTTTTACTTGGTGTTTTTAATTAGAAAATCGTGTCTTATTTATCATTAAGTAGACTGATTTATATCTATGTATACTAATATTATAAAGTGGAAAGATTAGAATTTTTATATGTATTGAAAAAACTCGAAAACTACTAGGCCGATTTTAAAAATACTTTCACTGTTAGAAAGGTTATTTATCTGCCAGTAACATAGGATACATTTTATTATTATTATTTAAGTTCACGCGGGTGAAGTCGCGAGAAACAGCTAGTTCTTTATAAAGTCAGACATTACACATGAAATTGGATTTGTGGTATGCGGTGAGATTAATTGAATTAATATATTTTCATTGGCGCTATAATTGACTGGTTGCATATCCATTATCGATATTAAACCAAATAGCCCATAATTCTGACAAATGCTAATTGTTATCTATCATTATTTTGGTTAATGATAAGGAATGTGTGTTAACACAATGACATATTCACACGGATTAACATATGTCTTCGTTTAAATTGGCATACTGGATAAATAGATTTGTACAGTCCGGAATTCTGGCAGTGTTCCACTTTAAAGGCTACAATTATTTTAACATTTTGAGACAGAACATAAAACAATACGACGCAGCTTTTAAATGTTCCTACGAAAAAAGTCATTGAGTGATACACGGTTAATTTCTTTTTATCATAATCCTGTCGTTTTCGCAACTCACTGCTATGTTATTGATTATTTTTAAGAAGTGGCGAAGTTTATCGTGAGAGCAAGAGACCAGGCAATATTTCTGTAAGAGGAACACCGCGACTATACATTTAAGATCTCATTCTTTTTTTTTAATATCTGTAAATAAACAGTTTGAAATTTACAGTTTCAGCCGCAATTACCGTCGTAAAACAATATTATACCCTAGCATATAGTCAGTATGGGTAACGTAATAGTAGGCAGACATTACGACTACCGATGCAGTTATTTTACTTAAATAGCACCGATTGTTTATTTGAATAATGTAGTATTATTGATACACAGTAGATCCGCTCGGGTTGATAAATATTTTCCTCGAAAACAATCCGTAGTCGGTTGCAATTTCAGTCGGCGGGTAATTATGACCGTTGTTACGATAGCCGGTGATTATTGGCAGGTGCAGCCGCGACGCACGCTACCTTACGTGACCCCCTCCCACTTCCCCTCTCTACACTCTCCTCGTGCCCTACATCCCCCTAAATATCCGGGTTTTTACAACCCAGATTGTGTGTATAAAATTTTATTCAATTTAGTTTTTTTTTAATTAAATTCTCTTGACTTTTAATTTAAATTTGTTTAACATATGCTGAATATGCAAATGAGTTACAAAAACAATCCAAGTTTTTAATTTTACGTTTAACTACCTAAATAGGTTCTTTTCATACGATATTCAGATGGTTTTGATACCAAACGTTAAGCATCATTTTAACCTTAATTGCGATTTTTGAAAAATTTACAAAATCTATTGTTCCGATTGAAAATCTTAACAAGGATCCGCAGCAAACTTGCTATTAACCACGAAATGACATTTCGAAAAAAGTATTATTTCTAGTAGTTATTTACCTTTTCTGGCATGCACAAAATGGGAAAGGTTATGTGAATTTGGCAAGAGAGGGAATGTATATCCTATATGGTTCAGTTTTGAAATGTGATATGCACTACGAAATTAATTTGAAATTAAAACGTAATTGTCGTTGAAGCCGTCATTTGATCAAACACGTTTACATTTGGCAACATTGTCCGAGCGGCGGTTGAATACCGCAGCGATTACAGCGCTAATGAAGTCATTGTTTGAATATCTAACGAACTGTGTACAGCGATTTATACGATACAGGGGGCACGCGCGCGCGTCACGCTCTTCTAATTAATAAGTACGTGGAGCCTACTTTGCGACCCCTAAATCAGTTTAACACAACGTGTTGCCGTATTCCGTACGTGAGCTCAGTTCAGTCTGACCCGATGTTCCATATTTACAGGGCAGTGAGTATGTCGAAACACCAATAGTTTTGTAGTTAAGTGTACGGACTACTGATCAAGAATACGATAGTTCCAATCCGCTATCCACAATTACCTAAACTTACAAAAACATTGTCATAAGATGTGTGGATTGAATCTTGTAATATGTTAAGTAAAAAATTGGTCTTTGTTTTAAAATATCTTTTTACAAACTGTAGGATAAACAAGTCATTTAAAATATCAACATTTTAAACTAAAGCTAACTTTACTATTCCACGTTTTTTCAACCATATAAATATTTACTGTCATAACATTAACTTTTAAGAGGTATTGTATCTTAATTTCTTAAAAAAACTACTTATCTTCACTAACGGTAGTGACTGTAGACTACATTACTATATTAACATTTTCCATTTACACTTTATCGTAATTGCCGAAACAGGTTACTTTAACGTTCAAATACCGCTTTGAAAAAGATATTTAAAAACGGTATTGACTTAATATCTATAATAGTAAAGTGCCTTCTCCGAATCATTTAACAAAACATTTAAAAAAGTAACGTAATAATCCAATTTGAATTCTACAAACAAAACGATACTATAATGTAATTAAAAAAAGCGAAAACTATTTAATATATTTTTATTTCTATAAATGTAGATTAATATAAAGCTTGTTAGTCATTGGATAGTTGGCTGTTAACATGTAAATTCATAGTAATGAGGTGTAGGATCGCGATGCTGGCTCAGGCGGGCATTATGCAGATATCGCGCAGTTAACCGCCTCGCCGCCGCCGCAACAAGTAAAGCCGGGGAACATTCGCGTGCCGCAAAGACCTGCCCCTTTCCCCATCGCCTGCTATACCACTATTTTTGTACGCTAGTTGTGGAATTTTAACAAGTTTTACAGCCTCATTCCTTTTATATTCACAATCGAAATGCCTACTAAAGTAATTACTTCGATTGAACATTTTTTAATGATGTTTATGTACTGAAGATTTGTAACAACATAAGGGGTTTATGGGGACATTTTTAGTGATATACAAACAATAACTTCCTAACCTTGCTAATAGTTATCTCTTGATGATGTAGATCACCGAAGAGAAATCTCTTGTTGCCGTTATTCTTTTGATTCCCCCACTAGATCTTTGTTGACGTTGTCTTCGACCTTTTCTATCTATCTCTTGTTAAGAATAAAATCAGTATGGCACTGATCGGCGCAACACTAAATCTTTGTCATATATGTCCCTTCCCTATCTGACATATGTCAATGTCATTCTGACACATTAGAATAGCGCGTCATTCGGCGGGATATAGTGGTCTGAGTGTAAAAGTTAATTACGCTGTTACAATTATATTAATTTCTTACACTCTGTACATAAGTGAACATAGTATGTAAAATTAAATAATTATGTAACGTGAAACTATTGCAATTGCTATACATCTATACTAGTATTATAAAGAGGAAGGATTTGTATTTTTGTATGTATTGAAATAACACAAAGTCTACTAAGTCGATTACGAAAAATCTTTCACTCATAAATAGCTATGTTATCACTGAGTAACATAGGCTACATTCATTACATTTTTTATTTCCGCGTGGACGAAGACGTGATCAATAATTAGTCATTTAAATTGAGAGTGGTTTAAATAAAGGCATTACACGGGTTCTACATATTGGCCAAACAGTCCGGCAAGACAAAGTCAGTCCTGAAACGCGTGGCTTTGTGTTCACAAGCGGCAGATGTTTTAAACTTAACGCCTTATTTGTTTTATTTTCCAAGACAGACATTTTCGCAGCGCAATTACCGTTCTATTTTAGTCACGTACAATTTTCATCGAGCTCATAGATTCATTTTTAACCCTCAATTAAAACCGAGTGGAGAAAAAACTGACTGCAAAAATACGTTTAGCTGGCACGTTATTTAACAAAATAATTTAGATTTTCATTTATTTATATACATATCACAATTTTACTTTGAGCAAAAAGCACCACTAGACTACGAAGTTTTTGCTTATTTTTTAACTACTTTAAGGTATATTTGAAATGTAATGAACATATATTTTATTTTCAAATAAAATACAAATCAAATAACTATCACAATTTCACTAAAACACAAACATAAAATAGCAGAAAATGTTTAAAGATCTGTACGTTTAGAAAGAGCTTACACCAATATCGGAAACGTAGTCCGCTTACATTCAAAAAAGACAGGCCACCGATAAACATTCGCCAGCGTAACTTTTCAGAAAATTCCAAACTGCGGTGAAATTCTAACACTAAATTTTATCCTAAACAGTCTCCCCTTTGTGAAATTTCTTTAAGGCTATAATGCTGGTCTCACACGATGGCTTAACAGCTACGCAAAGCAAAACAGAGAAGTACTTCTATTGTCTGAATTTACACTTTGAACAGCTTCAGCTGCCGTGTGAAACTAGTATAAGCGTGTAGTTTTGGGTTGCAGTGCGAGATCCGATGCGATATCGCAGTGGTGCTCGCGTAAATCTGTCCGGTCGCGACCACCTCCGTACAGATGCAGTACCACTTTACAGATACGACTTGCTTCCTTTTTTTAACCACTTCAGTTTCCACGCTGATTTATAGCGACCGCATACGACTTAGTCTTTTTTCCATTTCACGCTAGTGTTTGGAGCAAACAACAAACGGAATTGAATTTCTGTTGGCATAAATACTATAAGAGACGTATGCGTCAGGTAAATAAATGTTTTCTTTAAATAAAATCACACAGACGGACAAAGGTCACGTTCCTTGATGCTAAAATCGCTTTTACAAAAAAACACTCAATCGATTTATTACTTTCCCTTACTTTACTTTTATTTTAATTTCCCCTTATACAATGAATATGTGTTTACGGCTATACATTAGTGTAACATGTCTTATGTCATAACTGTGTTAGTGATATCATAATAAGTCGTGGCAACACAGC